TATGGCTGCTTTATTGTTTGTACCAAACCCAGTTGCAGTCTTTTTTTATTAAACTTTAAGAAGGTCACAGAGAAAACCAAAATATAATTTATATTGCAGGTTATTTTTTTTTATTGTTAAAATAATATTCTTCAGTTTATTTAGTTTATGTGCCATTTTAGTTGGAATAATTTTTTTAGTATTTTAAATAAAATTATGACAGAATCAAAAATGAATCATAAGAATAGAAAGATGTTTCATGAATGTTATAAATTTTGAGACGATTTAAGAAATATTTATAATTATTAGTAGAACTGAGCAAGAACTGAACTAGTACTGCAGATATATTAATCAATATTACTAGCACTGAACTAGAACTGAACTAGAACTGAATTAGAACTGAACTAGACTGAACTGAGCTGACTAGAACTAGAACTGAACTAGAACTGAACTAAACTGACTAGACTAGAACTGAACTAGAACTGAACTAGAACTGAACTAGAACTAGAACTGAACTAGAACTGAACTAGAACAGAACTAGAAACTGAACTAGAACTGAACTAGAACTGAACTAGAACTGAACTAGAACTGAACTAGAACTGAACTAAAACTGAACCAGAACTGAACTAGAACTGAACTAGAACTGAACTAGAACGAACTAGAACTGAACTAGAACTGAACTAGAACTGACTAGAACTGAACTAGAACTGAACTAGAACTGAACTAGAACTGAACTAGAACTGAACTAACTGAACTAGAACTGAACTAGAACTGAACTAGAACTGAACTAGAACTGAACTAGAACTGAACTAGAACTGAACTAGAACTGACTAGAACTGACTAGACTGAACTAGAACTGAACTAGACTAACTAGAACTGAACTAGAACTGAACTAGAACTGAACTAGAACTGAACTAGAACTGAACTAGAACTGAACTAGAACTGAACTAGAACTGAACTAGAACTGAACTAGAACTGAACTAGAACTGAACTAGAACTGAACTAGACTGACTAGAACTGAACTAGAACTGAACTAGAACTGAACTAGAAACTGAACTAGAACTGAACTAGAACTGAACTAGAACTGAACTAGAACTGAACTAGAACTGAACTAGAACTGAACTAGAACTGAACTAGAACTGAATTAGAACTGAACTAGAACTGAACTAGAACTAGAACTGAACTAGAACTGATCGAGAGCTGAACAAGAAGTGTACTAGTTTTTAGTTAAAAATTTGATCACTTGCCGATTTTGTTTCAAAGTTCATAAATTTATTTTGTTTAATTATAATTCTAAAAAAAACAAGCTCAACAACTTTTTTCACAAAATTATTTCTACAAGTTTTTAATAAATCTGTTTCTTTTAAAATTTTAGCATTTGACAATACAACATTTTGATTTATTTATTTTAAAATTTGCAATATTCTGGTCATTAACATGACTTGTCACATTTAACAATATTAATCTAAATGTCACTTTATATAGAATAATAATAATAATAATAATAATTAAAAATAAACAAAAAAAATCACCTAAGTAATATGCTGATCATATTAAAACATAGAAACAAATATAAAATAACGAAACTTTTTAATATTCTGTTTAGGTTTTAAGTTTGTGAGAATCAAATAGCAGTCTCTGTCAAATATGTATTTATTTGTGTAACAAACTCCTATCAAGATTATGTTACGGCCATATGTGTCACAAAATGTTTAAACTGTTTTAATTTGAGTATTTTAGCGCTCTATGTATGGCGACACATCGTGCAAAACTGCAACATTTATGAAGCTACTGTTTATTAATATTATTTTTTAAAAAACCTCTAACTACACTATGGAAATATCAAGTCATATTCACATAGTTAGAACTTTTGTAACACAAGGTGTATTATAAGTGCATCTTTATGCCCACTAGTGATATAGGGTACTTTTTCTTCAACCACTATGAATGTTAAGATTTTGCACACTTTTTCAAATCTACCGTTTAGATCCCTAGCATTCATATATTTTGGTCTCATATTTCTACATAGATTTTTATTTATTTATTTCTGTTTGTTTTGTTTCGAATCATTTAACAATGTTTATATTTAGTTGGCGTTAAAATAAAGATTGTATGTAAAATATGATTGTATCTAGTAAATACCAGTTGTATGTACACATTTATGCTCGTAAGTATTTGTTTTTGTACCTTTTACTACTTGTAGGCGAAGATAAAAAATTTTGTTTTTCATTTGATTTGAATATGTCAACAAGATTTTTATGACAAATTTTTGGGACAGTGTTGTCATGTCGAAAAATGTTACACTTTTATTGTGACTTGTCATGAATCATGAATGATGTTTTCTAGGAATGAAAACAGTTGACAAAATGTATGAAAGGGAAATACATATTGCGATGAAACTTCCAATTTATGAAGTAACATATACATACATATTTTTGCAAGATAATTAAGTTCTTCTTTCTGATATTAAAATTTGTCATGTTTTAGAAGTTAATACATATTTGTTTATGTAAGTTTATTATTTACTCAGGTGTTTTAAACTCCATTCATTTGTATTCTTAACAAATGCACCATTTGCATATCCACGGATTTCACAATGACGTTAGCACTCTAGTCTAGTCTATAGTCTGTCTATAGTCTAGTCTATAGTCTAGTCTATAGTCTAGTCTATAGTCAGTCTATAGTCTAGTCTATAGTATGTCTATAGTCTAGTCTATAGTCTAGTCTATAGTCTGTCTATAGTCTGTCTTAGTCTAGTCTATAGTCTAGTCCTATAGTCTTAGTCTATAGTCTAGTCTATTAGCTTGTCTATAGTCTAGTCATAGTCTAGGTTAGTCGATAGTCTAGTCTATAGTCTAGTCTATAGTCTAGTCTATTAGTCTAGTCTATAGGTCTCGTCTATAGTCCTAGTCTATAGTCTAGTCTTATAGTCCTAGTTCTTCGTCTAGTCTATAGTCTAGTCTATAGTCTAGTCTATAGTCTAGTCTATAGTCTAGTCTATAGTCTAGTCTATAGTCTAGTCTATAGTCTAGTCTATAGTCTAGTCTATAGTCTAGTCTATAGTCTAGTCTATAGTCTAGTCTATAGTCTAGTCTATAGTCTAGTCTATAGTCTAGTCTATAGTCTAGTCTATAGTCTAGTCTATAGTCTAGTCTATAGTCTAGTCTATAGTCTAGTCTATAGTCTAGTCTATAGTCTAGTCTATAGTCTAGTCTATAGTCTAGTCTATAGTCTAGTCTATAGTCTAGTCTATAGTCTAGTCTATAGTCTAGTCTATAGTCTAGTCTATAGTCTAGTCTCTAGTCTATAGTATAGTCTATAGTCTAGTCTATAGTCTAGTCTATAGTCTAGTCTATAGTCTAGTCTATAGTCTAGTCTAGTCTAGTCTATAGTCTAGTCTATAGTCTAGTCTATAGTCTAGTCTATAGTCTAGTCTATAGTCTAGTCTATAGTCTAGTCTATAGTCTAGTCTATAGTCTAGTCTATAGTCTAGTCTATAGTCTAGTCTATAGTCTAGTCTATAGTCTAGTCTATAGTCTAGTCTATAGTCTAGTCTATAGTCTAGTCTATAGTCTAGTCTAATAGTCTAGTCTATAGCTAGTCTATAGTCTAGTCTATAGTCTAGTCTATAGTCTAGTCTATAGTCTAGTCTATAGTCTAGTCTATAGTCTAGTCTATAGTCTAGTCTATAGTCTAGTCTATAGTCTAGTCTATAGTCTAGTCTAGTCTAGTCTATAAGTCCTGTCTATAGTCTAGTCTATAGTCTAGTCTATAGTCTAGTCTATAGTGCTAGTCTATAGTCGAGTCTATAGTCTAGTCTATAGTCTAGTCTATAGTCTAGTCTATAGTCTAGTCTATGTCTATCATAGTCTAGTCTATAGTCTAGTCATTAGTCTAGTCTATAGTCTAGTCTATAGTCTAGTCCTATAGTCTAGTCTATAGTCTAGTCTATAAGTCTATCTAAGTCTAGTCTAAGTCTAGTCCATAGTCTAGTCTATAGTCTAGTTATCGTCTAGTCTATAGTCTAGTCTATAGTCTAGTCTATAGTCTAGTCTATAGTCTAGTCTATAGTCTAGTCTAGTAGTCTAGTCTATATCTAGTCTTATCTAGTCTATAGTCTAGTCTATATTAGTCATAGTCTAGTCTATAGTCTAGCTAAGTCTAGTCTATAGTCTAGTTATAGTCAGTCTAGTCTAGTCTATAGTCTAGTCTATAGTCTAGTCTATAGTCTAGTCTATAGTCTAGTCTATAGTCTAGTCTATAGTCTAGTCTATAGTCTAGTCTATAGGCTAGTCTATAGTCTAGTCTATAGGCTAGTCTATAGGCTAGTCTGTAGGCTAATCTATAGTCTAGTCTAGTCTATAATATAGTCTAAAGTCTATTCTATTGTGTAGTCTATAGTCTAGTCTATAATCTTGTCTGGTCTGTAGTATAGTTTCTAACTAGTCTAGTTTATAGTTCAGCATATAGTCTAGCGGAAAATAAGTTTGGTACATTCAAGCCTAAAAAAAGTACTCTTTATGTTATAAGTTAGTACTATTTCAAAATTTAAATTTTTTATGCCTGCCCCAGATGTCGTTTAGACTTTTGTATTGAATCACTCGAATAGAATCCATATAATTTTAAATACATTGAAAATGTTAAAATAATTTTTCAAAACTGGTCCCCCTTATTTTCAAATATCTGCCACATACAGCGGCTGCATGTTATCTGACACTACCAGCATGTTAAAGTTTACATAATCATTTTATTTGAAATGACAATAACACTGTTAAAACTAACATTCGCAGCCAACGGTAAAAAGTCAGCAATCCTTAAGTAAAATATACTTATTAGAGTTGCACTTATTACAAGTCAGCACAATCTAAACGAAGAGATCTTGTATAAGATACTATAACTATTATTATGAATTTAATGAACGATGTAATTGAAAATTATATCTTAGTGGAATTTTAGTAAAACTTTAGTTTTAAGTTATCCCCCCAAAACATGTGCATACAAATTGTGTTAAAAAATCTTACCAGGCATTTGTTGCTAAATTAGCTAAACTGGCTGCTGCAGCAGCGGCATTTGTTGTTGTAGTAGCATTGGAACTGTTACATTTGCTGCGCATTACCAGTTGCAGCCAATTGGGAATGGTCGGTATTGTGGTCGGTTCAGGTGTATATCTATAATGTGATGATAAAGATTTTAAATTAATTTTTTTGTTAATGAAATTTATATTTAGTTTTAATAAGAGAACAATAGCAATAAGCAAATGATAAATCATTTAATTAATATAATGTTTAATCATTAAATCAATCTTTAAGAGGTTGTTTAAAAAAATCCAACAAGTTTTGTCGATTTCTTAATGTTTTTTAGGTTTAATTTAAAGTAAAATTTATTATAAATTACACCGGATGTTATTTTAATAAATTATCTGAAACATTGATTAATAAGTTTAAGAACTTTACATTAATTTAAATAGAATTTTGCTAAAGAACTTGAAAATATGAAAAACTATATTTAAAGTTTCAGTTCAAATTTTTAATATTAATATCTTATAGAAGTTTTAGGACTATTTCTGAATCGGACTAACTCTTCAGCAACAAATATTTACCTTATTATGGAATTACATTGTTTAGCATTGGGCATGGCGAATATCTCACTAGCCTGTGATGTTTTCTCTAAGATATCGTCAACTTCCGGTATCGGTGCCAATTCATCGCTTTCGTTTAGATCCACATCTAAACTAGACATTGAACTCAAGGAATTGCGAGCTGTAGAGGTGACATCATAATGTGTTTTAGACGATTGTAGCACTTCCGTCTCGTCGACAATATCAAATTGATGAATATCGAATTTGATGAACACTATAAACAGAGTAGAACAAGAAACGAGAAAGAAAAGAAGAAGAAGAAGAAAAGAAACAAGGCGCAAGAAGGTAGCAACACAACAAATATCATACAAAACAAAATAGTAATGGAAATGATGATAAAAGAAAATGAATAATATCGATTTCATTTGGGTTCGAGATCTTTAAATCTTGGCGTAAAAGATCTTTTTTTTAAGAAAAACGTTTAAGAATAACGACGTATGTCTTAAGTGTTTAATAGAGATCAGAAACCTTTAATGGTCCTGATATCTATTTAACTCATTTTTTTTAATTTAACAAAAAGAAAAAATCTTCTCAAAATACATTTAATATCAACCCGCCCCTTTATCACATTTTCAATTTTCATTTCTAACTCACATTTTTCCAAAGGACCCAATTTCTTAGCTAAATTGAACATCATTTCGGGTGTCCAAAAATCGGGTATACGTGCAAATACTGATCCCGCATCGGCTGGTAACTGAAAGCCCAATTTATGCAAGAGTAAAACGAATGGCTGATAAAGCATTGTTGTTGCCTGCTCATTATTCCACTGGACCACGGGTATGGATTTGTTTTTCACTGCAAAAAAATAATATAAATAAATTTTAAGTACATTCAACGGCATTATAATGTTAAAGCAACTTACATATGCAATGATATGCCACTGGTTCCATAACAAAACTCAAATGTTGATGATCTTCACGCAAGGGATTATTCTTTAAAATCATCTTAATATAACAGCATTCGAGTAAAAGTTTTTGCAGCCAAACAATATGTTGCTGTTTCTTTTCCTTGATAATAAGATCACGAAGAATCTTAAATATAAATTACGATTTCTTTTAAAATAAACTGCAATCAAGGAAGATTTTTATATAACAAACCTGTATATCATCTGAAGGTTTGTTACCCTTGACGGGTGTTTCATTTATATCAATGCCCGATTCTGTGGTACCAGAAGTGGGTGTGGTTAGTAGAGTGCGCTGATACTCAGCATCTTCAAATTTCATTAAGTCATCATACTCGACTAAAGTAATAATGTCCTGGAATGATAAAAATCAATTTGATATTAAGTATTCAGGGCAAGTTAAATTATGAATTAAAGAATTCTCAAGACACAGGAGAGCATGAAGAGGTATGAATGATACGATGTCACGTTAGTCTAAAGTACAAATGTGGTAACGATCACATGATGTTCGGAATTAGTTAGTTAGTTAGTTAGTTGGTTAGTTAGTTAGTTAGTTAGTTAGTTAGTTAGTTAGTTAGTTAGTTAGTTAGTTAGTTAGTTAGTTAGTTAGTTAGTTAGTTAGTTAGTTAGTTAGTTAGTTAGTTAGTTAGTTAGTTAGTTAGTTAGTTAGTAGTTAGTTAGTTAGTTAGTTAGTTAGTTAGTTAGTTAGTTAGTTAGTTAGTTAGTTAGTTAGTTAGTTAGTTAGTTAGTTAGTTAGTTAGTTAGTTAGTTAGTTAGTTAGTTAGTTAGTTAGTTAGTTAGTTAGTTAGTTAGTTAGTTAGTTAGTTAGTTAGTTAGTTAGTTAGTTAGTTAGTTAGTTAGTTAGTTAGTTAGTTAGTTAGTTAGTTAGTTAGTAGTTAGTTAGTTAGTTAGTTAGTTAGTTAGTTAGTTAGTTAGTTAGTTAGTTAGTTAGTTAGTTAGTTAGTTAGTTAGTTAGTTAGTTAGTTAGTTAGTTAGTTAGTTAGTTAGTTAGTAGTTAGTTAGTTAGTTAGTTAGTTAGTTAGTTAGTTAGTTAGTTAGTTAGTTAGTTAGTTAGTTAGTTAGTTAGTTAGTTAGTTAGTTAGTTAGTTAGTTAGTTAGTTAGTTAGTTAGTTAGTTAGTTAGTTAGTTAGTTAGTTAGTTAGTTAGTTAGTTAGTTAGTTAGTTAGTTAGTTAGTTAGTTAGTTAGTTAGTTAGTTAGTTAGTTAGTTAGTTAGTTAGTTAGTTAGTTAGTTAGTTAGTTAGTTAGTTAGTAGTTAGTTAGTTAGTTAGTTAGTTAGTTAGTTAGTTAGTTAGTTAGTTAGTTAGTTAGTTAGTTAGTTAGTTAGTTAGTTAGTTAGTTAGTTAGTTAGTTAGTTAGTTAGTTAGTTAGTTAGTTAGTTAGTTAGTTAGTTAGTTAGTTAGTTAGTTAGTTAGTTAGTTAGTTAGTTAGTTAGTTAGTTAGTTAGTTAGTTAGTTAGTTAGTTAGTTAGTTAGTTAGTTAGTTAGTTAGTTAGTTAGTTAGTAGTTAGTTAGTTAGTTAGTTAGTTAGTTAGTTAGTTAGTTAGTTAGTTAGTTAGTTAGTTAGTTAGTTAGTTAGTTAGTTAGTTAGTTAGTTAGTTAGTTAGTTAGTTAGTTAGTTAGTTAGTTAGTTAGTTAGTTAGTTAGTTAGTTAGTTAGTTAGTTAGTTAGTTAGTTAGTTAGTTAGTTAGTTAGTTAGTTAGTTAGTTAGTTAGTTAGTTAGTTAGTTAGTTAGTAGTTAGTTAGTTAGTTAGTAGTTAGTTAGTTAGTAGTTAGTTAGTTAGTTAGTTAGTTAGTTAGTTAGTTAGTTAGTTAGTTAGTTAGTTAGTAGTTAGTTAGTTAGTTAGTTAGTTAGTTAGTTAGTTAGTTAGTTAGTTAGTAGTTAGTTAGTTAGTTAGTTAGTTAGTTAGTTAGTTAGTTAGTAGTTAGTTAGTTAGTTAGTTAGTTAGTTAGTTAGTTAGTTAGTTAGTTAGTTAGTTAGTTAGTTAGTAGTTAGTTAGTTAGTTAGTTAGTTAGTTAGTTAGTTAGTTAGTTAGTTAGTTAGTTAGTTAGTAGTTAGTTAGTTAGTTAGTTAGTTAGTTAGTTAGTTAGTTAGTTAGTTAGTTAGTTAGTTAGTTAGTTAGTTAGTTAGTTAGTTAGTTAGTTAGTTAGTTAGTTACTTACTTAGTTAGGTAGTTTCTTTGCCTAGTCTACAGTCTATTCTATAGTCTGGTCTATAGTCTAGTCTATACTCTAGTCTATAACCTTGTCTGTAGTCTAGTCTATAATTTTGTCTATAATCTTGTCTATAGTGTAGTCAATAGTCTAGTTTATAATCTTGTCTATAGTCTAGTCTATAGTCTAGTTTATAGTCTAGTCTATAGTTTACTCTATAGTCTAGTCTATAGTCTTGTCTACAGTCTAGTCTATAGTCTAGTCTTTAGTCTAGTCTACAGTCTAGTCTATAGTCTAGTCTATAGTCTTGTCTATAGTCTAGTCTATAGTCTTGTCTGTAGTCTAGTCTATAGTCTAGTTATAGTCTTGTCTGTAGTCTAGTCTATAGTCTAGTCTATAGTCTAGTCTACAGTCTAGTCTACAGTCTAGTCTATAGTCTAGTCTATAGTCTAGTCTATAGTATAGTCTATAGTCTAGTCTATAGTCTAGTCTATAGTCTAGTCTATAGTCTAGTCTATAGTCTAGTCTATAGTCTAGTCTATAGTCTAGTCTATAGTCTAGTCTATAGTCTAGTCTATAGTCTAGTCTATAGTCTAGTCTATAGTCTAGTCTATAGTCTAGTCTATAGTCTAGTCTATAGTCTAGTCTATAGTCTAGTCTATAGTCTAGTCTAGTCTAGTCTATAGTCTAGTCTATAGTCCAGTCTATTGTCAAGTCTATAGTCTAGTCTTTAGTCTAGCCTATAGTCCAGTCTAGTCTATAATCTATACTATAGTCTAGTTTATAGTCTAGTCTATAGTCTAGTCTACAGTCTAGTCTATAGCCTAGTCTACAGTCTAGTCTATAGTCTAGTCTACAGTCTAGTCTATAGTCTAGTCTATATTCTAGCCTATAGTATTTTCTATAGTCTAGTCTATACTTAGTCTAGTCTATGGTCTTGTCTGTAGTTATAATTATTTCAATGGGAACGATAATTGTGTCGTGTGAACATAGCATAGGACCTATTAAAAAAATATATAATTTTGGTTCCATTCATACCTGTTGCAATAGTTGCTGTATAATCGATATTCTTGACTTTTGTTTGTTGCCATTGTTGGAGAACAATTTGACAATTTTTCCCACAATATCATTGTTCTTCTTACTCTGCACGTAGTACCAATACAAAGTGTCCATTTCCTCTTGAGTCCAAGTGCTGTTTTAAGACAACGACGATTAATGTAGATTTTGTTAACATAAAATGAAGAAATATTTTATATAAACTTTAAAAAACTGTTCATTTAAATTTGCAAAATAGTACAACAAAATTTTACAATATTTTTTATATAAAAACAATTATTCTTTGAAATTAATTAAAACGTTAAGATAGATATTAAACAAATTTAAAGTAGAAATATTCGCAAACAAATAAATAAGTTAAATATTTAAGTTCAAAAGTTATTTTTGTAATAAAAGAATTTATAAACAAATAATAAAATTTTCATCTCAGACCATATTTAAAAAACAATTTGTTATTGATAATAAAAAGGCAACGATGAAACGCATGATCCACAGTCAACAGGGATTCCACATCATGATATTGCTCTCTGCAACAGCAAGCAAAACTGACAGTTGATCGAGAGTTAAAAGAGAATAGAGATCCTGTAACGTCTTCAGACAACTGGCACCTACTAAAGATAAGGCTAAGGGGGAAGAACACGTTTCATTCTGTAAAAGCAGTTTGTTTTAAGGTTGAAAACATAAGGTTTTTGTTTAGGTAAGTTTTTAGTGAGAGCATAATTACAACATGACATGGATTCAGAAAGAACAAAATTTAGAACTCAAAAAACAAAAAATTTGTTAAACGAAATGAAAATATGTCAAAAATTAATTTTTTTTTAAAATAATTGTTCTTTAAATATCCACGTATGCATATAATTTTTAGATTAAAACATCTAAAACATCAATTATATATTTTTTTGTAATAAAATTGCTAATTAAACTTAAAACAAATACATCTTAAACTCAAAAAATAAGCTGGAAAATATTGTAAAAGTATTAGAAATTTTGTTTTATGGAAAACAAAGATTCTTACCACACAGTAGTCTCCATATTATGCTCTTTCGTTAATTCTGTCAGCGATGTTGAGGGTAAAGTTAAAGGACTCTTTTGTGGTGTATTCATGAATTTGTGTATAACATATTCAATTAAATCGGACCAATCCTAAAGATTAAAAAATAATTCAATATTATTATAAGATTACGTTTAATAAATTCTATGTATAACTTACATCACATAGTTCATAGTCAGCTTCCCATATACGTGAATAGGTTTTTAATATGACCGGTTGAAAGAGCGTTCCAATTTGTCCCAAATCACCACCGATATGATGCATCATGGTAAATATACAATCATTGACAAATTCACCATTATTATTGAAATCATCTAAAAGCATTCCGTAGTAATGCATTATTTCCAAAGTAGCAAATCTAAAAAGTTTGAAAGATTATAATAAGTACCAGTTTTTTTTTTTTTGTTGAAATTTTCGCAAATGTATTAAAAATCATTAAAAATCGGAGTCTAGATTTTGTTTCAACGGTTTAAAAATATAAAAAATCAAAAGTAAAGGTCTGATTAGATGTAGAAAGGTCAAAAAGCTTGATAATTGCAACAATGATTCGTTGTTAGTTCCAGCTGATGTATCTACTTCAAATTCTGTTGATGCCTTCAAAAACGTGGTTTTTGAAGAAATACAGATCAATGTGTCTTCGATGTCAATATCGTCTATACAATGAATGTCAATATCGTCCATACACTTCGATTCAGAAAAAGTCGTATATATGTACAAGTTAAGGAATCAGCAGTCATGGTTTCAGATGTACAGCTGCAAGGAAAGATTTCGGAGAAACGTTCAAGTTCTTGTGACAGATAATCTAGTACCGCGGGAACCGGTAGACCGTAGGCTAAAGTTTTGAACTTTGTTTTGTCCCAGTTATTGTAGAGGTTCCTTCGTAGTGGCTGTGGTTTAAACCCAAATTCGAGAGAAGAAAATGTCGGTTAAAATAATGATGCACATAAATAAGGCGCTGTTGCCGATACAACTGATACCCAACAGAGGAGTGACTGTGGGACTAAGCGATGGTGTTAAGTGTATTTGATAAAGGATGAATGTAAGGGTGTACGGACCTTACCAAGAGTAAGTGTGTCAATGTTGTTCTCTATGAGTGTGTCAAATGAATGAGATGTGTGCTGGGTTGAATGGTAATGGATGATACAAGTGATACCATTGAATTTTCTTTCCTTGTCCAGGTATGTTCTTGGTTTACTTTATTCATACCAGATTTACCACAGTGTATTCTCTGTGAGTAAGAATAAGTCCTCAGCTTAGATTCGAGTTACGTCTCTAGGTGATGTTGCCGACTCAACCGAGGTTATCCCATCAGTGTGGTTGTAAACGAAAGTGATGCTTTTGCATCTCGAAAGTTAAGCAACGGGGCAGCAATGGTCATAGATTAGTTAGCTCGAGTAATTGAGCAATGTTCTTTTATATGGACCGGCAGGTGGTGAGTCGGATAGTCAGCTCACCCAGTGGTTGAAAAAGTACCAACGTGAAAAAGGCCAACATAGCAGGTGTTCACGTAAAATGCTTCGACATCTTGTTCTCGACATTCTGCAATCATGAGCAAAAGACTACTACGGAGTTGATTACCTTGACTTCCCTGGCAGACAATTTGAAATCTGGAGTCGGAATCCTACGAGTAAGGGAAACAAAGAAGGCGAGCACATCAATCAAATTAATCTGAAAGGAAAGAGTATTTGAAAAGAAGCACCCATCAACGTGGAAGAAGAAGTAAGAGAGATCCGCAATATCAAGCCAAAGTAGCCAAAAGACTACTCCGGGATGATCTCGACTAAAGTATACGATGCCGGTAACCCGACGAGCAAAATTCCAATAGATCAGTCAACAATAAGATAGTGAACAATGCAATCCCTTCCAAGGGCATACAATCAATAGAGGCGTGAGCAGCGAGTTTAGGAATGGTGTGATGATCATAAGATTAACATCAGAATAGTTGATGCGCCCAGAATTACTTGGTGGAATGTATCGTTTCTCCCTAGTACGACTCTAGCTAGGACTCCATTGTGATCCTTATTGGTAACAATTTCACGATAATTGATTGTCGAAGACGAAACGAAATGACTGACATATACGAAATCGGAACAATCAGTGTAAAATAGGACTATATCAATATATTTTTGATGTACATCTCTAATTTATAATCTACCTGAACCCATTGACACTAAATTTCATTTGCATTAAGTTAAAGAATCTAAAGACTAAACTTGGACAAATACTCACTGTGATATGTGATCAATCATCTTTATATGTATATTACTATTCGATTTAGTAACACTATCCAAAATCAATAGCAATATATGATTTGTAACAACTAAATCCTGTAAATATTGTTTCGTATGTAAACTGGGATTGAAGCGACGCAATAGCAGCACGAATAAATTGCGCAAATCTTCGGTACTGCTTATTTGCAATTGCAATAAACGTAAGCGTTCACGATCTTCATCGCTTAGATGTGTTACTTTCTTATATGTTTCTATTGCTTGCAAAAATTCGCGTATTGCTGTGACGAGTAAATGCATGCGACGTAAATATGGTTTTAAATCACTGCCCTCCTGACGTGAATTCAATTCCAATTGTTCGCACAACATGACGCCTTCATAGGTTAAATAACTGATGACATCAAAGGTAAGAATGGTATTAATATGCTCCATATCCAATTCCAGTTGGGCGGCAAATTTCAAGAAATATGTAACCAACCAAAAGAAATGTGATGTATCAATGGGTATTTTCTGCATTAGGAGGCAAGGGGGAGAAAACAAATTTAATTAAAATGTTTTGAGAGCACAAGCACAATGAGATAAACTTACTAAATTTGTTAATAATTGAGAGTGTAATTCCTCTACTAGGTAACCATAGCCTTTAAGCAGAAAGTCAACGGTAAATTCCTTAAGAAGATTGGATATGTCTTCATCTGTGGGTGTATGCTGCACTAAACCTTTCATATTAATTCTAAAAAAAGAAAATAAATCAGACAAATACGCAATTGTTAGTTTAATAGAGATTTGTGATTCTTGATAAAAAGGTATTTAGATATAAAAATAACTATAAATATCTTTTAAGCTTAAGAACCTCTAGATTTTGAAATACTTACAAACTACTTTTGCTTCTTTTCACCAATTTCTTACGTCTCAGCTCTTTCTTATCAATGGCGGTCAAGACAATTCTGTGCTTGTTTCTGGCCTTCGAACTGCAGGGTGGTTTCTGATGTTGAGGTTTACCCTGTGGACCATCGTCATCATTGCTGGAAGTTGAAATCGATTCTTGGTTTTCAACTTGAGTGCCATAACCACAATCTGAAAGTTCGGATTGTGAAGATGGACACTCTCTTTTTTGAGGTCCACAATTACCCATTGTTAGTTTGACATGACCCGAGTGTGGGGATTTTTGACAAACTTTTGGTGTAGCCGTCATTAATTCGGTATCTATAACGCGTGTTTTGCACGCTGATGTGGAGCTCTTAAGAGGTAATGCCGGTGGTGGCATAAAATTGGCAGCATCGGCCAAATTGGAAGTGTTAGAATCTTGTTCAGCTGGTTGTTCTTGTTGTTGTTTTTTATTTGTGTTTGTGGATTTTTCCTCCGCTAATTCTGTCGCGAAATTATTGTTGGTAGAATCTAAAACTGTTTCATCTGTTTGTCCAGTTTCCTCATCCTCCAATGATTCCATTACATCATTGCCCTGTTGATTTTGTTTCAAAATGAAACCTTCCTCACAATCGGTGGCGCCCACATCACTAGCTCCTTCGGAACTATCAACTTTGTCAGCGGGTACTCTTAACATAGAGTCTTGGTATTCTTGACCCTTACGACTCACCTCTTGTAAAGTGGCCTCGGTTTCTTCACGCAATGCTTGACGACGATCTTCAGAATTACCATTTTTACTACCGGTGCTACCTGTTAAAGAACAAGTGATATTTAGTAATTAGCTCTGCTGACCTTTCATCTTAACAACACTTACCATTATCCGAAGAATCAGATGTGGGATCTGATGTCAACATGGGGCTAGAATCACAACTGCCCTGTTTTGGCGGCGAAGTATTACTTTCATTATCTTCCGAACTTTCCGACAGTGAAGCCTCAAACCACAAATTCAATAATTTCTGCAAAGTGCTAACATGTTGATCTTTATAAATCAAGGCAATCAACTGCACCATGGTTACACCCCAAAAAGCACGCTGCGGACAGGTCATAAGATACAATAGTAATTTGTCTATGCTCTGTATAAACAGATTCCATAGTATGGTATTTTGCATAGAGACGGGATGTGTGCTGCCCGGCTGATTGTGCGAAGTCGAAGGCATTAAATAGTTTGCATTCGATTCGGGAATATGCAGAATATTCCTCAGCAATAATAGGCAATTGTTGATTTGATCGCATTTTTTCGGCGTCAACTTTGAATCGGATTCCAAAATATGCTTCATGTATTCCACCACAGATTTCGTACTTTTCGGATCGGTGAAGGCTTCCTTGCTTGTGTGCAATAATTTATTCAATTCAAATATCGTATGTCTGCCCACCTCGGTGCGATACATGACATCGACTGAGAACAGACACTCAACCGGTACTGTTAAATTCACCAATATACGTATAACCGAGTCTAAAATATCCTCATCTTTCGTATTCTCTAGTAAAGGTATTAAATCGGATCGTACATTTTGCCCGAAACCGATAGCTCTCCGAAAGGTACGTAAGGTTTGATCTTCGTAAGATAGTTTATAATTTATTTCCTCCAGTGTGGCTGTGGGTTTTGTGGAAGGATATTAAGTACAGTTGGTTGGGTTTGCTGGACTATATCTCACTTACCTAATGCGTTAGCGCTAACAACGTAAGTATCTCCCTCAAGGGAGCCCAATGATGAGAAAGCACTATGAAGTTGCGGTGTTGCTAATAACCAGTCCATTACAAAATTATTATTATGAAATTACGTTTGTAGTTTATGATCCTCATCGGTGGAATTCATTTGGATAAATTGTATGAAACGAAAATTGATGCTGAAATTAAAGGTGAGAAAAGAAATAATCATTTAATACAAACGGTTTACAATATGTATGTACTTTAACCATATTAAATCTATTTTATCAATAAATTATTTCGATTTATCGGCAATCCATCTGACTGAATCTTTGTTTAAATGTTTAAAATTCTTTAAGAGATTTTACGGAATCCAATACGAATACAATACGAATCACTCTTTCAGACACTGATACCTTTAAAATGATATTGTTCAAAAATTATCAGAAAAGATTTTTTAAACCCCTCAGCTAAGTTGTATATAACTGAATTACAATTGAACTAGTGATGAATTCAAGCTGAACCTAGAACTGAACTAGATCTGAACTAGAACTGAACTGGAACTGAACTAACTGACTAGAACTAGAACTGAATGCTAGAACTGAACTCGAACTGAACTAGAACTAGAACTAGAACTACTAGAACTGAACTAGAACTGAAACTAGAACTGAACTAGAACTGACCTAGAACTAGAACTGAACTAGAGACTGAACTAGAACTGAACTAGAACTGAACTAGAACTAGAACTTGAACTAGAACTAGAACTGATACTAGAACTGAACTAGAAATGAAACTAGAACTGACTAGAAAACTGAACTAGAACTGAACTAGAACTGAACTAGAACTGAACTAGAACTGAACTAGAACTGAACTAGAACTGAACTAGAACTGAACTAGAACTGAACTAGAACTGAACTAAAATACTGAACTAAAACTGAACTAGAACCTGAACTAGAACTGATTAGAACTGAACTAGAACTAAACTAGAACTGAACTAGAACTGAACTAGAACTGAACTAGAACTGAACTAGAACTGAACTAGAACTGAACTAGAACTGACTAGAACTGAACTAGAACTGAACTAGAACTGAACTAGAACTGACTAGAACTGAACTAGAACTGAAATAGAACTGACTAGAACTGAACTAGAACTGAACTAGAACTGAACCAGAACTGAACCAGAAGTGAACTAGAACTGAACTAGAACTGAACTAGAACTGAACTAGAACTGAACTAGAACTGAACTAGAACTGAACTAGAGCTGAACTAGAACTGAACTAGAACTGAACTAGAACTGAACTAGAACTGAACTAGAACTGAACTAGAACTGAACTTGAACTGAACTAGAACTGAACTAGAACTGAACTAGAACTGAACTAGAACTGAACTAGAACTGAACTAGAGCTGAACTAGAACTGAACTAGAACTGAACTAGAACTGAACTAGAACTGAACTAGAACTGAACTTGAACTGAACTAGAACTGAACTAGAACTGAACTAGAACTGAACTAGAACTGAACTAGAACTGAACTAGAACTGAACTAGAACTGAACTAGAACTGAACTAGAACTGAACTAGAACTGAACTAGAACTGAACTAGAACTGAACTAGAACTGAAATAGAACTGAACTAGAACTGAACTAGAACTGAACTAGAACTGAACCAGAACTGAACCAGAAGTGAACTACTGAACTAGAACTGAACTAGAACTGAACTAGAACTAAACTAGAACTGAACTAGAACTGAACTAGAACTGAACTAGAACTGAACTAGAACTGAACTAGAACTGAACTAGAACTGAACTAGAACTGAACTAGAACTGAACTAGAACTGAACTAGAACTGAACTAGAACTGAACTAGAACTGAACTAGAACTGAACTAGAACTGAACTAGAACTGAAATAGAACTGAACTAGAACTGAACTAGAACTGAAATAGAACTGAACTAGAACTGAACTAGAACTGAACTAGAACTGAACCAGAACTGAACCAGAAGTGAACTAGAACTGAACTAGAACTGAACTAGAACTGAACTAGAACTGAACTAGAACTGAACTAGAACTGAACTTGAACTGAACTAGAACTGAACTAGAACTGAACTAGAACTGAACTAGAACTGAACTAGAACTGAACTAGAACTGAACTAGAACTGAACTAGAACTGAACTAGAACTGAACTAGAACTGAACTAGAACTGAACTTGAACTGAACTAGAACTGAACTAGAACTGAACTAGAACTGAACTAGAACTGAACTAGACTGAACTAGAACTGAACTAGAACTGAACTAGAACTGAACTAGAACTGAACTAGAACTGAACTAGAACTGAAATAGAACTGAACTAGAACTGAACTAGAACTGAACTAAAACTGAACTAAAACTGAACTAGAACTGAACTAGAACTGAATTAGAACTGAACTAGAACTAAACTAGAACTGAACTAGAACTGAACTAGAACTGAACTAGAACTGAACTAGAACTGAACTAGAACTGAACTAGAACTGAACTAGAACTGAACTAGAACTGAACTAGAACTGAACTAGAACTGAACTAGAACTGAAATAGAACTGAACTAGAACTGAACTAGAACTGAACTAGAACTGAACCAGAACTGAACCAGAAGTGAACTAGAACTGAACTAGAACTGAACTAGAACTGAACTAGAACTGAACTAGAACTGAACTAGAACTGAACTAGAACTGAACTAGAGCTGAACTAGAACTGACTAGAACTGAACTAGAACTGAACTAGAACTGAACTAGAACTGAACTAGAACTGAACTTGAACTGAACTAGAACTGAACTAGAACTGAACTAGAACTGAACTAGAACTGAACTAGAACTGAACTAGAGCTGAACTAGAACTGAACTAGAACTGAACTAGAACTGAACTAGAACTGAACTAGAACTGAACTTGAACTGAACTAGAACTGAACTAGAACTGAACTAGAACTGAACTAGAACTGAACTAGAACTGAACTAGAACTGAACTAGAACTGAACTAGAACTGAACTAGAACTGAACTAGAACTGAACTAGAACTGAACTAGAACTGAACTAGAACTGAACTAGAACTGAACTAGAACTGAACTAGAACTGAACAGAACTGAACCGAACTGAACCTAGAACTGAACTAGAACTGAACTAGAACTGAACTAGAACTGAACTAGAACTGAACTAGAACTGAACTAGAACTGAACTAGAGCTGAACTAGAACTGAACTAGAACTGAACTAGAACTGAACTAGAACTGAACTAGAACTGAACTAGAACTGAACTAGAACTGAACTAGAACTGAACTTGAACTGAACTAGAACTGAACTAGAACTGAACTAGAACTGAACTGAACTGGAACTGAATTAGAACTGATTTTGAACTGAGTTGGAATTTATGCTTAATGCGTACTATATAGCTTAGTATAGCATCATATCTTAAGAGTTCACCAGACGGTGGATACCACTAGACTGCTTCCCCTATTATAAACGAATTAGTTTTCCATACGTAGCACTTTTTACACATTAATATGTTTCAAAGTTTAAAATACTTTTAATCATGTTAATTAAAATATTTATAATTTAATCTTTGAAATTTTAAAAAAAGAAATATAAAGAAACATTTTTGTATCAATTAAATTAGAATCAAATTTATTTTTCTATTATCTTTTTTGCGTTGGTGTTTACTGTTTAAGAACATCAATTATCACTAATTTCTTAATTATAAATTCTTCTTAATTTGTTTATTATATTTTATTTAACTTACTCATAATTGCACTATATTTAAATCATTTGTTTAAAATATATAAATCATTATTTATTAACCACAATCGACTTTATTTTTATTACCTCTGCCAATGGCTTCCTTGACACAACTAACATTTCTGAAAAATTTCAACAGAATTGGGAATACATTGTGTGAGGTAACACGATAAGCTCACACATGTCGAGTGCACGGTACACAACCTACATAAGTGAGCTGTATGTAGCAGTTGCTGTAGTCGTCGTAACATTTGCTCAATTTTCAACCTGAGTTCGAAATCAATTGTCTGCTAAAAGGTGACCACGAATCAGTGCACATGTAACGAAAGAAGATCCTAAATGCAAACACAAGCAAAGCCAACAGCAGCAACACTATGGAGTACCAGCATAAAAATAAATGCGATATGATTGCTACATGTGAAATAGAGTTATAGAATAGTTTTGCAAACATTTACAAGGGATGGCAATTTTAGGGTGGCTGATTTTCTTAAAACTATATTTCTTTATAAGACACAAAATGCAAGTTTTTTCTTAAGACCGTGACATGTTCATATACAGATGTATATAGTTCCACTATTTTTTTCCGCTGCATCAACAACGTAAACACATCCACGTGCTAAAGTAGCGTGCAGCATGGATTTTGATGTTAACTACGAGTGACTGACTGATGTTGTAAAGATTTGTATGTTTTACGCAGATGGATGAAATGCAGTCGGGCAAAAAATAATTTACACTAAAGATTAATTTTAGATCAATAGATTGTTTAACATTGAATACAAGTTATGGGGTATTTGATTTTTTATGAATAGAATATATTAGTTAAATGGGTAAGTTATTCACCATGCAACATAATGATATGTGCTAAAAATAGATTAACTATAAATACTAGGGGTGTGTGAATTGAAATGCTTTATATACAGTCCACCACCATCAGTGGTGATAGAGGGTATATATAAATTTGTCGTTCCGTGTGTAACACCAAGAAATATTCATCTAAGACCCAACAAAGTATATATATTCTGGGTCCTTATGAAATTCTGAGTCGATTTAAATATGTCCGTCTGTCTGTCTGTCTGTGTAAAACACGCTCACGTTAAAACTAAGTAAAGGAAATCAACCCAATTCACCCAAAATATTTATTATTATCCTAAGCAGTTTGGTATTGAAAATCAGCAAAATCGGTTCACAACATAAAAAGTTATGAGTAAAAATTTCAGACTACCTCGAAAAAAATTACGTTTTTTTTCATAATTCTTTTGAAGTTTTCTCAGAAACTACCAAAGATATTGCGATGAATTTTGTCACACTTTTTTAGGGCAGTGATCAATTATGTTCAAAATCTTTACAATCGATCCAATATTTCCCATAGCCCCCATACAAAGGTATATATTCCCGGAAATTAGTTTATCGTTAATAACTCAATCAAATATATCGGTATCAACACCAAAT